AAGAAGAAGAAGAAGAAGAAGAAGAAGAAGAAGAAGAAGAAGAAGAAGAAGAAGAAGAAGAAGAAGAAGAAGAAGAAGAAGAAGAAGAGGAGGAGATTGGATTTATACCCCGCCCTTCACTGGGAGTCTCAGAGCGGCTGAAACAGCCATTATGGCTGTTCGCTATAGATGTTACTGCAGGTGCTGTTACTCCCTGCGCCACCGCTGAATGTCACTCGGAGTCTCAGAGCAGCTTACAATCTCTTTTCCCTCCCCCTCCCCACAACAGACACTCCGAGTGGTAGGTGGGGCTAAAAGAGCTCTGAGAGAACTGTGACTGACCCAAGGTCACCCAGCAGGCTTCATTGGGAGGAGTGAGGAATCAAACCTGGTTCTCTAGATTCGTGTCCGCTACTCTTAACTATTACACCAAACTGGCTCTCTGGAGTCAGCTGGCTGGTGCTTCCTTCTGTTCGTGTATGTCTGTTGGATGGGGCACCAAAGTCATCATTTGTCTAGGAGGCCAAAAACCTCTCCAAACTGGCTCTCTGGAGTCAGCTGGCTGGTGCTTCCTTCTGTTCGTGTATGTCTGTTGGATGGGGCACCAAAGTCATCATTTGTCTAGGAGGCCAAAAACCTGAACGGAAGCCAAAGATTTTAATGGGACTAAAGGTCTCCTTAAAGATGCCTGACAGAAAGGAAAACGACAGAGGTGCAGTGTTACCTGTCATCCAAGGATGAAACATGTGCACATTTATGCCAGTGTACTAAAATGATCACGCAGGTTGCTCCTGAGTATATTCATTACTTATTGCAAGGCCTCGTGGGTGCCACTTCTTAATAAAGGACACACAATGACCAGAGTTTGGGGTGCATACGAACATAAGAGAAGCCAACGTTGGATCAGGCCAACGGCCCATCCAGTCCAACACTCTATCACACAGTGGCCAGAAATACCAGGTGCCATCAGGAGGTCCACCAGTGGGGCTAGGACATTAGAAGCCCTCTCACTGTTGCCCCCATAAAGCAGAAGCGTTATGGGCTTATATATTAACAGGTCAATTACAAGTAATTGTATATTTTCAGTTATACCAATAGTAGAGTTGCCGGCTCTGGGTTGGGAAATACCTGGAGGTTTTGTGGGCGGAGCCTGGGGAGGGCGGGGTTTGGGGAGGGGAGGGGCCTCAGCTGGGTGTGATGCCATCATCAGGTCCATCCTCAAAGCAAGCCATTCCCCCCCCCCGGGGAACTGATCTTGGTCGCCTGGAGATCCATCGTAATCATGGTGGACCTCCAGGCGTCACCTGGGTTCCTTATATTAAGTCTTCGTTGGTCTCGTGTGGTTAATCTCGACATCGCTTGGCTCTTTAAAGGCTGCTGACCCCTAACATCATTTGGGAAATATTTTTTGATGCAAAAATGCAAAGTAAAATGAAGTAAACATGCAGGTTGTAAATGTGCACCATGAAATGAAGTTAGGACGCAGTGTTCCCTCTAAGCTGAGTTAGTGTGAGGCAGCTCACCGTTTTCGAGCCTCCGGCTCACACATTTTTGACTTTGCTCAGGAAGGACGGCTCCAGAGCAAACTAATTTATGCAGTCGCCAAAGCGCTCACTCACAGCTTTAATGCCAGGAGCTCACAAAGTAGAAGTTTTGGCTCACAAGACTCCACAGCTTAGAGGGAACACTGGTCAGGAGGTCTTATTTATTTATATATATATTTGCATCTACACGCACAAGAAATCCCATACAGAATCTACTACAGAATACGATTCCCTGGCCCATAGATCCAACCAGCGTCTCCATTCTTGGCTGGCTAACAGCACCTAGATTCCCCGGTGGGAGGCCTTTCCCCCCTCAGCTCTTTCTACACAGAAGCTGCGCTGTTTGTCAACGATCTCTTGCTGACACCTTCACCCTGAGCATCTAAAATGTTCATCAACGCTCCATGCCTCCCCAGTAGGTCAGCTCATGGCAAGGGGCTGGTATATCATCTCAGGGTAGTTCAAGAGGCCTCCTTCTCCTTAAATAAACCATGCAGTTGAAACGAATCCCCCCCTACGGCACTCGAGCAGAAAGCGCACACCAGAAAATTGGCTGTGCCTCTTGCCAGATGCACAGTATTCCCTTCCAGGGAAGGGTCTCCCCACTTTCTTATCTTATCTG